AGCCACTGACCCGGCTATTCCTAATCCCACCAGAATGGGCACTAAAACGGGGGCAGCCCGTTTACTCCTATAGTATTCAGTGGTTAATCCCAGATGTTCGCGGCCCCCTTTTCCATTATAATACAAGACTTGTGGGACAAAATACACAGTGACACAAAATAAAGTGGCAGATTGGGTAGCCAAGACTGATTTGGGAATGCATTTAGTCCAAGCTGTGACCCTGGCTACTTTGACCGTGGAGGGGGTTACCAAAATAAGAGGGTATGGCCCCTTCCAACACAGCTTGAGGCTGTTAGTCTGATGTCGGTGTATCAGGACCAGGTCTCCTGGCTTGAAACTGTGGGGCTGGAACGTTGCAAAGGGTTTTTTTTTTTTTTGAGCCTGTTGTATTGTAGCCTGGATCTCTCTCTGAAGAATCTGTGAGGCTTGAAGAGACTGAAGTGAAGAAACACAAGAATTCTTTTATCTGTTCAAGGTTTAACTTAGGGAGGAGTGGTGGGGGCCTCCCATACAAGATTTCAAAAGGGGTAAACTTGTCAACATATGGGGTACATCTAACTCTTAACAAGGCTAGAGGAAGCAGATTGGGCCACCTACCGCCAGTTTCTAGAACATATTTAGTCAGGGTTTCTTTCAGGGTCCTATCCATCCTTTCCACTTGCCCTGAACTTTGTGGGTTATGGGCACAGTGTAACTTCCAATCGATATGTAGTGCCTTCGCCAACAATTTGGATATCGGTGCCGTGAAGGCAGGCCCATTGTCGGACCCCAGGTAACGAGGGATGTCAAATTGGGGAACTATGTCCTGGAGTAAAACCTTAGTTACTATGTTGGCTGATTCTCCATAAGTGGGGAAAGCTTCTCCCCAACCTGAGTAGGTGTCAACCAATACCAGTAAATATTTGAACCTATTGCTGGATTTTATTTCAGTGAAATCAAGTTCCCAATGTTCCCCTGGCTCTCTTCCTCATAGTCGATTACCTTCACTCCTTGGTCTCGTCTTGGAGTTTACCTGTGTACACACCTGACACATGGAACTGATGTCCTGGACCATAGAGGTCAGTCCTGGGATTGAAAACTTAGAACTCATTAGTCTTTTTAACTTTGATTTTCCCAAGTGAGTTAAGTGATGTAACTGATGAACAAGTTGTCACCCCAGGGCTTGGGGGAGACAAGTTCATTCGTTTGTCCCTTTCCACCAGCCTGAGTACAGTTTTGTACCCTGGTGCTTTTGGTTTTCTTCTTCCTCTTCCGGGGTATATGTGGGTCTTTCTGGCAGGTAGCCAAAGGGTCAGATGGGCAGAATGTCTATTGGCCCCACTGGTTCTCTGGCCATTTGTCGGGGTGCATCATCGGCCTCTCAGTTACTGAGGGCCTTGAAGCTGTCTCCTTTTTGGTGGCTTTTGCAATGAATGATGGCCAACACCCTGGGTTGCCAAATTGCCTCCAATAAGGCCAAAATTTTTTCTTTATTTTTGATAGTTTTCCCTTCTGATGTCAATAGCCCTCTCTGCCTGTAGATGTAGCCATGCACATGGACAGTGGTGAATGCAAATTGGCTGTCAGTGTAGATGTTTACAGCCTTGTCTTGACCTAACCTTAGGGCTTGAGTTAAGGCTATTAGTTTAGCCCTCTGTGCCAATGCCCCCCGGCTTAATGCTTGTGTCTAGTGTACTTGTCCTTCTGGACTGACTATGGTTACCCCCGTGTACCTGACTCCATCTTCCACAAAACTGCTACCATCAGTGAAGAAAGTCTCATCCAGGTGTTGCAAGGGAATGTCAGTCAGGTCTGGGCAGTTGGTGGTGGAAGTTGTCAGAGTGTCCAGACAGTCATGGAGGGGCGTGCATGGGTTGGAGTCCAGGAGTAAGGTGGCTGGATTAAGGACCATTTCTCAGGCGAATTTGATGAGTGGCACATCCAGCAACAGGGCCTGGTACTGAGTCAGGTGGGCTTTGGAGAGCCATTGTTCTGGGGCTCCTCTCAGCAATGTCTCCACCGCAGAGGGTGCGGTGATGACCAGGTCCTGTCCCAGGCTGAGCTTATCTGTCTTCTTGACCAGGAGGGCGGTGGCTGCAACTGCCCTCAAACAGGTAGGCCATCCACTTGCCACAGGATCAAGTCTTTTAGACAGGTAGGCCACAGGTCTGTTCCAAGGCCCTAATGCCTGGGCTAGCACTCCTTTGGCTATGCCCCCTTGTTCAGCCACAAACAACTGAAAGGGCTTAGTGACATCAGGTAGGGCCAGGGCTGGTGCTGACACTAAGGCTTCCTTTAAAGCCAAAAAGGCAGCTTCCTCCTTTTCTGTCCACACTAGAGGAGTGGTCCCACCCTGCCCCAAGGTGACTGAGTAAAGCAGTTTGGCAATCTCAGCAAAACCCAGCATCCACAGCCTACAATATCCCACCATCCCTGAAAATTCTCTCTTAGTGGTGGGCAGGGGGATTTGTAGGACAGCTTGTATCCTCTGAGGAGAAAGCAATCTGTTTCTCTTGTGCCTGGAGTGCAGCAATAGTGACTTTCCCCAGTTTCTTGGCTAGGACTTCCTCGGGGGTGTCACAGTTATCATAAACTTTCTGGGCTATCTTCAGGAGTGCAGTCCTATTCTTTCCCTCAAATCCCTCCAATTTCTATAATTTTTTTTCTAATGTCTGGGGCCGACTGGGAAACAAAGGCCAAATTTAAAGCTGCTGCATTTTTGGAAGCCTCTGGGTCAATAGGAGTGAAAACTGTATAGGCTTCCAAGAGTCTCTCTAAAAATGCAGCCAGAGACTCCATTTTTCCCTGGTGAACCTCACTTACCTTACTCAAATTAGTGGGCTTTCTGGCAGCTGTCTGGAGTCCCCCTAATAAGTGCTAGCGGTAGGTCCCCAGCCTCCTCCTACAGTCATCATCATTGGGGCCCCATTTGGGGCAAGACAATGGAACTGCAGCCTCAGCCCTGGCTGAATACCCTGGGGTTCCAGGAGTGATGCCAGGGTTTGGCCCCAGGGCCTCTTTGATTGCCTGTTGATAAATGCAGTCCCACTCCTCAGGGGTGAACAGGATCTGTAAAAGCTGCTGGCATTCATCCCAAGTGGGCTGATGGGTGTGAAGAACAGACTCAAGAAGAGAGATTAATGCCTGAGGTTTTTCAGAGAAGGGGGAATTTTGATGTTTCCAATTGTAAAGATGACTAGTTGTAGGGGGATCTTCCAACATATTGATCCAGATGTCAATATATGGGAATTGATCTGGATGCCGTGGGGCCCCGACTCCAGTGACCACTTTCCAAACCTTGAGAGCAATGTGCACAGAATAAGTTCCCACCAGGGGCCAACTGACTCTGAAACTGGGCCTTTCTAATTGACATAGGGTTCCTAGTTTGCCTTTAGAAAATTTCATGCCATATTTATCTTCCCTGCCTGTGTAATAAAATTTTTTGAAGTTATTCAAAACACAATCAAGAGGAGTTCCTTCTGTGGACTGTGAGGAACCCATAATTTTAGGCTGTGAAAACACAAAAGGCACACAGAGCAAGCAGACAGACAACAATAAACAAAGACAAACTTTGGCCAAGTAAAACCTCTGGGGCTGAATGGATATGGACCCCAACCCAGGGAGTCCGCCTTCTGAGGACTCTGACCCAGTGAGTCTGCTTGCAGTTGCAAAGAGACTCTAAATAGGGGAACCTGTGCAGCATCCGGCTTCCTCCTACCTACCCATAGTGCACTAAGAATCATTCGATTCTTACCTTTAGAGGCTTTCCTGATAAACTCCTGTGGCTCGGTTGATCGGCGATAGGGCCCAACTGGGACCGGCCTACCTGGAGCCCCAGAATACCATCACGGTGGCCTCTCCTTCTGCAGACCGGTGTCCAGAGAGGCCAAACATTGGCGATGTCTGATCCTGGTCTCTCCTAAAAAGAAACAATGGCTCCAAGATAATAAGCTCCAGAGCAGCTGGCTATCTTGCTGGGGCCTCCAAGAATGTTAGACCCAGCGGGAAAGAACCAACCAGAGACTGATATTAAATCCACACAGGAGTTTATTACCGGCCAGAACCCAAGCCAAGCATTGGACTTGAGCCCCGACTGGGGGGAGACAGATATGTTTTATACACCTTTGAGGTCAACAGTTTCTAGGCCCCCCTATGGGATAGAACTAGCAAAGCAAGTGAAAGGTAGAGAAGTAGAAAGTCCTGCTGTTAGAACATTTGTAAAACAATAGTTGATTCATTGTTGTTTCTAAAGGGACCTTTTAAGGGGAGGAGGTTTCTAAGCTTTCTCCTTCTGAGTTCATCTAAAGGACAGGCAGGTGGGTCAAGCAGCAATATGGAGTTTGTCTTGCTAACTAGGGTCCTTCAAGCTTTATTCTGAACAATGTCGAGTGGTCCACTTAGGCCTCAAGTTTTAAAACTTTATCAAAATGTTAAAAAATTCTGAAGCTGTGGGTTTATGCAGAGCCATAGGGCCTGGTAGAAACCAGAAACTTGTATCATTCATTCATGGCACACATCAAATACACTTCAGAAAGGGAGAATTTTCCATGAGATGAGCTTTTCTGGGGAATCTGTGGGGAAACAAAGTGTTCAGAGCACAAGATCATTGGGCAGTCTCTAACACAGCAGCATGTTGAGAAAACATTGAGAATCAGAGACACGTTAATAATTAATACATATGTTTATTAATATAGAATGTAGTGTTTTTTAGCATGGTGTGCTTGCCATAACATGTAAACAGAAGTGAGAAATAAGATGATTTGGGGTTGGTTCTGGGAGACTTGGTTAATTCACAACTTATGTGAGCCTCAGTTTTCTCACTTGTTCTGTGCGGTCACGGCATTGTCGTGAGGAGTGTCTCCCATAGACCAGGCTATTGAACACCAGCAGAAGAAACATTTACTATGTGAATTGGTTAGACAAGAAGCAGGCCAGAGCAGGAGTGAGGGTTTCATCAACAGGGAAGGTCCAGGCAAACACAGAGGACTGGTCCTATAAGTGCGTTTACTTTGTCCCAGGGCTTTTCTCAAGATACGTCTTCTACAAATGGAACCCACAACCAGTACAAATAATGTGACTGAGCTGATCATCACTGGGCTTTTCCAAAGTGTGGAGGTGCAGAGAGCATGCTTTGTGCTATTCTTGCCCGTGTACCTGGCCACACTGCTGGGCAACGGCCTCATCGTCCTGACAGTCAGTGTCAGTCAGAGCCTGCGCTCCCCCATGTACTTCTTCCTGGGCTACCTGTCCCTGGTGGAGATCTGTTACTCCTCCACTGTGGTGCCTAAGTTTGTTGTGGATCTGCTTGCCAAGGTTAAAATCATCTCCTTCAAGGGATGCCTGGCTCAGATATTCTTCTCCCACTTCTTTGGGGTCACTGAGGTCCTCCTGCTTGTGGTGATGGCCTATGACCGCTATGTGGCCATCTGCAAGCCTCTGCACTACATGAGCATTATGAGTCGCCAACTGTGTCACATGCTGTTGGCCGGTTCCTGGCTGGGGGGCTTTCTTCACTCCCTTATTCAGATTCTCATCACCATCCCATTGTCCTTCTGTGGTCCCAATGTCATTGACCACTACTTCTGCGACCTCCACCCCTTATTCAAGCTGGCCTGCACCGACACCTCTGTGGAGGGGTTTATCGTGCTGGTCAACAGTGGAGTCATCTCCATCTTTTCCCTCATCATCTTACTGTGCTCCTACATCATCATCCTCGTCAGCCTGAGGAACCATTCTGCAGAGGGGAGGCGCAAGGCCCTCTCCACCTGTGCCTCTCACATCACAGTGGTCATCTTGTTTTTTGGACCTGGTATCTTCATCTACATGCGTCCCTCCTCTACCTTCACTGGGGACAAACTGGTGGCTGTGTTCTACACAGTCATCACCCCCATGCTGAACCCCATCATCTACACACTCAGAAACATGGAGATGAAAATTGCCTTGAGGAAGTTGTGGAGCAGAAAGGAGGATTCCTAATAAAAAGGACTCTGATGTACAGAAAAAGGATTTAAAATGTCTAATTATAGTGTGTTCTGAAATGATTATGATTTCAGTGTGATATGTAGGTATTGCACCATGAAATAGAAGTACTTAATGCTATTGCTGCCAGCATTCTCTGAAGTCACCAAAGACTCCCTGGTATCATGGTATAATGTTCCGAGGACAGAGGTGAGGGATTCTCAGTGACTCCTAAGGGACTTGAGTGGCATTAGGATATCCCACAGTCTTATGCGTTTGTGTGATTGGAAGGCTCAACCCAAGAGAAAATGTGAAGGGGAGTATTTTCACAGTGAAAGTTTGTCAAAATCACTCTCTTGCTTTTATATATTTGTGGGTACAATGTTGAGGCAGGAGATTAGGGTGTGGGCAGCCATCTGGGCAAGTGGATGTGTCCTGTTAGTTACAGAGATCCAGCGCACATGTCCCCAACCCCATAAGACTATCCCTGGGGGGAGGGAGACAGTAAAATGGGAGTAAGAATGATCAAGATACAATGTGTGTATGTAGAAATCTTCTGAGATGAATTTAATTGCTATGTAGCACAAACATATAGTAATAAAATATTTAAAAAGGCTAACACTAGCATGGGCTTCATAAGTTTATTCTGAATATTAAACAGATCGTATATACATGTTCAGCCTTTAGAAGGAAGCATAGTGCAGAGAACATGGCACTCAATAAATATTCACCACCACCATGGTCATCAGCAGTGCTGGTTGTGAACTTCATTGTGTGATGAGTGGATCCCTACCAACATGGTGTCCTTCTTCTGTCCCGAGAACTGCTGAGACTAGGGCTTGATTCTGCCCCAGAGCTTTTAAATATGTGAAGGCAGTGCCGTTGTTTTGTTTTGAGACTTTTTTGGGCTAAATATTCTTTTGCTCTGTTATTTCATTGCTTTTAAGCACAATATAGTATCTGGTGCTCTAAGGTACTCAATATTTTAAAAAGGATCAAGATATAGAGGGAGGAAGAGGGAGAGAAGGTAAAAGGGATGACTAAAAGGAACTGTGATGTGTTATGTACATGTAGTAGCTCCACACAAGGGATGTAAACATTATGTTCTACACACACCCATTAATAAAGTAAAATAAAAATCAAATAAAATGAAAAACTCTTGAAAAGTAGATGTTGATGCAGAATAGATGTCCATGTAGAGTGGTTTGAGTTCCTTATGTATTCTGGATATTAACTTTTCATCAGATAAACAGTTTGCATGTGTTCTTTCCCATTCCAGGTTATCTCTTTGCTCTGTTGATTGTTTTCCTGAGCTATACAGAACTTTCTTCTCATACTATCCCATTTGTCTGGTTTTGCTTTTGTTGCCCATGAATTTTGGGTCTAACTAAATTTTTTCTTTTGCCTACTCAAATGTCTGGAAATATTGTTTCTAAATTTTCTTCTAGTGTTTTAATTGTTTCAGATCTTACATTTAGATCTTTGATCAATTTTGAGTGGATTTTTAAAGTATGTTGAGAGGTGGGGATATTCTGCATGTGTGCCCAATTTTGGAGATTTTTTTCTGTTCAGTGTATATTCCTATTGTCCCATATGGAGCTAGTTGGTTATAAATGTATGGACTTATGGATTCTCTATTCTGTCCCACTGGTGCATGCATCAGCTTTTATGCCATTACTACACTGTTTAGGCCTGCAACTTTGTAGTATGTTTTGAAGCCATTTTGTGATTTCTCCAGCTTTTTTCTTTTTATTCAGGATTTTTTGTTACTCTAGGTCTTTTGTGGTTCCCACATGAATTTTAGGATTTTTTTTTTTCTGTTTCTGTGAAGGATGTCATTAGTATTTTGATGGAGATTGCACTGAATCTGTAAATCACTTTGGGTAGTATGGACATTTTAATAATATGAATTCTTCCAATCCATGAACATGGGATGTCTTCTGATTTTTTGTGTTGTCTTTAATTTATTTCACTAACGTTTTATAATTTTTAGTATAGAAATCTTTTAGTTTCTTAGTTACATTCATTTGTAGATTTTTTTGGTAGCTATGTGAATGGCATTACTTTTATGATTCCTTTCTCAGCAAGTCTGATATTACTGCATACAAATTCTATTGTTTTTATATCAATTTTGTATCTTTGTAATTTACTGTTTGTTTGTCAATTAATAGTTTTAAATAATTTAATAGTTTTTTGGTGGGATTTTAGGTTTTTCTACACAAAATCATTTTTCTGCAAGTGGGAATGCTTTGACTTCCTCCTTTCCTTAGGATTCCTTTATTTCTTTCTCTCACCTAATTCTTTTTGCTAACACTACCATACTATCTTGGTTAAGGGTGGTGAAAG